ATAGTTTTAGATTTATTATAGTATTTGAATAGAACATGTGGCAGCGATTAGGGAATTCTTAAGATGATATAAATTTTGTGAATTCTGAGTTAAAAAAATGGCTGAACGGACAAATCGTGTCTCGTAACCACCAAGTAAAATATTTAGGTATTTATCCCGACCAGAAGTTAACTTTCAAATTTCACGTTGATTATATCAGAGACAAAGCACAACATGCCTTAATGAGCATTTACCCGTTAATGTGCAAATATTGCAAGTTAAAGATCAACACTAAAGGAACACTTTATCTACAGGCAATCCGACCCATAATTCTATATGTCGCCCCGGCGTGAGCAGCTGCTTCATGTTCAAAGGGCAGCTACTGCACTTTCAAACACAGCAAAGCTTCAATGCTTTCGAAGTAAAAACGCTCAGATTCCTATAAAACTCTCCGTGGTTCGTTAGGAACACTGTCATTCATAATTATCTAAAGATTTTACCATTAGATGCCGAATTACTAAAGATTACATTGAAATTCTATGAAAAATGTGATTCCTCCACTCACGAAGTTATTAAAAACATAGGGGAGCACGACTATCTAATCGAACAGCCGCATAAACGGCCCGCATAACATCATAATGTTATTTTCTATTTTTACTAAGCGATACTGTGTCAGATTTACGATAATGTGTAAAAGATATGCCATTGCAAAAAGATATACCAAAGTTATGTCTGACGATATCTAATTGCTATTATTGCGTATCCAACGAAGACTTCATCCGTGGCTGATAAATGGCACCACGCTTGATCAACTTCTTCACTACTGAAGACTTAGCACTTTTATTATAAGCGCACAGGATTTTTCCACTTTTATGGAATTTAACGAACTTTTACAGGTCCTTAAAGGAATGATAAACATGTAGTGGTAAAGGCCTCCGGTTCGAACGAATGATGATCTCCGAGTTAAAAAATGATCCTTATGCAACTTAATTGTTTTCACGAAACCTTGATTCCGTCTTCCACGGCCGGAGTATTTTCACCTGCGGGTAGATGCATTCGCAATTTTCCTAAGGCATATGCAAAACGAACTGGTGAAAATCCTAATGTAATTGTGTATCAGTATACCAGAGACTATTATGGTTATGTTGAAAAATGAATGAAATGTAACGCTGTTAAGCGAACCTAGGGCCAGAGTGTCGCTATGGTAAACAAATATAGTGAATTTTAAAGAATGCACTTATTCTATTGTGGTTTATGCACTATCGACGAAGTAAATTTAATTCAATCCAATAAATTTAAATGAAATGCAAGAAAAAAATGCGTATAATTTAATATTCCGTACATGTGGTCATGTGGTGTACACATCAGATTTTTTAAAATTTTAATTTCAAATATAGGCTTTTGATAAAATTGATAACAAATATAAAAATGATTGGTTTTATAATTTAAGTGTAGATAATTTCCCCATTAATTTGCTCTTTTCTGTGAATTCTGTTTTTTTTATACCCTCAACTATCTGACATTTTCACCTATCCATAATTCAGGATTTCCCGAGCTTTTCGAATAGTCCAGCTTTTGCTGTAGAGTCTTTCATTCGTTTCTCTATTTATTGATTTCCATTCTTGAATGCCACTGTCAAAATAATTCTGATACTGCAAAAAATATTTAGGTTTTTTCTGCTGCCATTAAATTGTATTATAATTATAGCATTAAATTTTGTTTATAATTTGCATCTGATATTTTTGTTCATACAGCAACGTTTCAGTAAACAACTTTCATCGCTTGTAAATAGCAAGCTTTAAAATTGGCAACCTCCTTTGCGAGGCGAAAAAGAATGCCACTGCACACCAATCAGCGAAAAATTAATTGAAAATTCTTTTAGAGTCTAAACTAGTGTATGTGATCGTAATCATTTGCAAGCTTCCCTCCTTTTTCTTTAAATTTCTTTTTAGTTTTGTTTTGCTTCGTAAATGTTGTTCATGGCATAGCTCCGAGAATAGTTGTCTTTTAACTTCCTAATTTATTCGATTTTTTGCCGTTATGCACCTCATTTTAAATCTGAAATTAATTCTATGAGCCCATTCTAAGCTATTGTTTAAATACTTCTTTATTAAAACTGCTAGTGCTGTAAGTCGGAAATTTGCAAATTAAAAATAAGGCGATTATGTTTCCGATTTGATTATATTTACGTTACTTCAAATTGGTTATTATAATTTAAATGTTTTAAAGTCATTATGGAATGAATTCAAAGCTAAGCAGCTTTAAAAAAATTGCATTTCAAATGTAGTTGATAATGCACAGTAAGTGCTACAGGTTTCCAAGAAAAAACATCTAGTTTTATTGTGTGTGAAATACTTTACGAAGAAGTAAAAGCTCTTCAGGGTTTGATTTTGTATAGAAAAAAAATATAAACTATTTGATTCACGGATTGTTATAATAACGGGCATTTAATGGTGATTACCTGCTGAACATTTAAAGATGTTGCTATATAGTATTATAATGAAATGTTAAAATGATGCCACAAATGCTAAAATAAGGTACCGCAATATTACGTTGTGTTCGCAATAACCAGTTGATACATATGAAATATGAGATAAATGTTATAATTAAATGTGTGATCTAGAAGGGAAACATATTATTAAGAACTTAACAAGAATCAGGAACCAGACGCAGAGTGACGAGAATCAAAGCATCACATGCGAAATTATTTTATTCTTATTTTTTAAGCACCACTATTTCTAGAATAAATGTAAATGAAATTTAAACGATGGTTATAGTCAAACAATATGGAGCACGCTGGTTCTTACGAATTTTACACACCAGATCTGGATTATACGTGACATAACGAATATTACGCTAATACTGCTGCACTCATCGGTACAAGTTAATCATTATTCATCTGTCCAAAATAAAAGTACTGAGAAAACTCAACCATGAAAAATTTTAGAAGTTAGCATATGAAGATCCATTAGGTAGATGAACAAGAATGTACCAGTAAAGACATCTTTGGTGTCTTTCTTGCTAGACAGTCAAAAAAAAAAAAAAAAAAAAAAAAAAAAAAAAAAAACCTGCAGCAATCTTACACGAATCTGGAATTTCACTTGCAAGTTCATTCAGTCTCACAAAAATTTGCGTGGCATTCAAAATACGCCAAACTCTGTTAACCACGCACATAATAATTCAGGCAACCATGAATGACAAATATTCAGTTTCCAACATCGTCATTTTTGTATGTGTTCTTTCTTACTGTATTGCAAGTTCCAACGGCGTTTCTAGGAAAATTATGATTACTTTTTGTCTTACGTACGATTTTAAAATTCGTGGTTGTAGGATTTTCCTATAATAATATAAGAAACGTTTTCGGAAAGAATAATGGTTCGAATCTTTTCTAAAAGCGATCGCTACGAAAATTTCATCCCCCCCCCAAAAAAAACACTTGTTTGTAACTAGGTTTAATGACTATGGATAAACTAATGGATAAATGACTAATGATAAGTATAATGACTAATGGATAAATATATAGTTGGAATGTAAAATATTATATAATATTTTTACAATAAAAGTAGTTATTCATTTTCTTCTCTAAAATTCACCAAACTGCACCAAGGTGGTTGTGACAATATATAATTACGCCTTGCATGAAAAAAAATGAGACAGTTCTATGTCTCATTTCTCTCATTTTCTATGTCTCAGACAGTTCTATGTTCTATTGGACCGATTGTCGAAATTTAACTTGCGCTTTCTATGTCTCGAAAGAGCAATTTAGAATATATATTAGATTTTTATATAGAACTTTTATAGCGTAGGTATTTTGACACAAAATACAACTTTTTCTGAAATAAAATACTACTTTTTTTTTCCATATTTCGATTCTGCGACTCAAATTATGCGAAAGTGCCCAGTTTTGTAAAAATCGCACGGGTAGTTTTTAAAGAATTAGCTGTTAAAAGTTTAGCTCCTCCATGGTAATTGAATTTGTTATATATTTATTAAACTTATTTGATTCTTCTTTACACATTTCGAAATTTAGGTTCAGTCAAATAGAATTCGCCCATTTTTCGTGATTTAGTTTTAAGATTTGTACTTTTAAATAATTTTTATAAATTTTTCGAAAAATATTTTGAATTATAAAACTATAAAATTTTTACCATCATCTTAAAGTAGAGGTATTTCTAAGTATACTTGTAAAAGATTAGAGTTTTTTTCAAAATTTCCTAAGATGTACGGAAATTTACATATTGACGCGTTTTGAAATTTTGCATATTTGTTATAAGCGATAATAACACCAAATATGGTTTACGCATTTTGTTGAAATTATTTGAAAGTATGAACGAATACCTTTTCTCCGCTCGTGTACAATGAAAAAATAAGAAAAGGAAAATAGGTAGCTATAAATTAAGTTCGCCAAGGGAATGATTCTCGGCGCAAACTGAAAAAAAAAAAAAAAAAAAAAAAAATGTGTTTAGATAAATTTTAAAATTTTTCACCAAAAATTACAAAATTTAAAGCCTAAGTATAATTTGAGTCGTAAAATCGAAATATGGGAAACAAATGGTATGTTATTTCAGAAAAAGTCCAATTTTGTGTCAAAATACCTATGTTAGAGTAATGATATGTATAAATCTAATACGTATCCTAAGACGCGTTTTGGAGAAATGGAAAACGCAAGTTCAATTTGGACCTTCGGCCCAGTAGAACGGGAGGTATAAAACTGTCTCCCCCGCCTTTTTTTGATGCAAGGTGTACCATATTTTTAAAGCAAAAGTAGCATTAATAATTTCTAAGAGAAATTTTCTGATAGCAAAACGAATTTCTGTAGTTATCATTTATTAACTAATGCGTTAGTGCTAAAATTCGTTTGAAACTGTACAAAGTTTTGCTATAGTTAAAATTAGTGCAAGTTAAAAAATTCTGAAATGGGAAAATAGTACTTTTCAATAAGTAAATGTTCTCACTTTTGATCATGATTATGCTCATGTTCTACGAACGCTAACAATAAACATTGCCTTTTTTTTGTTTAGGAATTGGGATTCAATACAAACATGAAAATCAACCTTGCAGATCTGACTTCTGTTTTAGAAGAAGTGTTGATTAATGTTCTGAACAAACCATTGTTGCAGTTAGCTTTTCTGTCATTCCAGAATGAAATGCAGTATTTGAGGTAGGTTTATTGTAAAAGCGTATGCTATTTATTTCAATAATAGAGTAATGTGTGCAAAGAAATATTGTAATATGTTTTATTTTTTATATGAGAAGATTATTTAAATATTCCTTATTTGTATGTACAGGCAAACTATTGATCAGATGCAAAAGGAAAGAAACAAACTGAGAGTTAATGTCGAAGAAGCTAACACACGCGCTGCATTACTTGCTCAAGAAGTGGATGATAATCATGCAAAACTTGAGAATTCTCTCCAAAAGAAGCTGAAGTAAGTAATCAGTTTTGAAGCTTTTACGAAATACAAGTTAAATGTGAAATCTGTTCATGTGTCAAGACCTGCTTCACTTTCAGTGACCTCCAAGATAATTCGTGAAATTGATATTTCAGATGAGATTAAAAGAATTTGTATTTGACCGTCTTATTTTATTTTAAGGTAAAGGTTTGCCTTCAAAATTTAAAAGCCTTAGCGCAGGCTGCATCATTCTATTGACTTAGTGCATTATATGTATAATGCATTAATCTTTTGAGTATTTTGTGGTTTATATATATTTTTTTTCCGCCCAGCCGATATAGTGGTTAATGACGCCGAGTGCCATAGCGATGGGCCTGGGTTCGAATCCCGGAGAACGCGGGGTTTTAACTGACCGTTCCTTCATAGTAGGCAACGGTTAGTCACCTATTATGTGTTTTCATAATGAAATTGCCACTACTTCCGGCTCTTGTAGTAGCGCAAAGCTAAGCCTTTGCTATTAAATATAGCGGCTCGTCAGTAAGAAGAAATTGTTTTTCTTATCCTAACATTCTTATTTGAAAAAGCCACAAATTTGTATTTGAGTGTTAAATCTGTATTAACATGAATGCATTTCTTAATTATATTTATCAACGTTAACAAATCAGTATTCTGAATATTTTTGGATTGAACTATGCCTTGTGATGTGCATGTGCAGATCTTATATACCTACATATATATTAAATGTATTATGTGGCATTGTATGCTGAAGGAATTAGTAATTAAGGAAATGCCATAAAAATAATTTTCAGTTTTATAATTTCAAGTGCTAAACAGAATCTTCTTATTAGAGTACTACTCATTTATTTTTATTGCACTTGTTTTGCTTGCTAATTATTGATGTTTTTATTGCCATTGCATGCTTTGATCTTACAACATTTGGGACTTACATACTGTTAGAGCAATCTTCTTAAAAGAAGATGCCAAATTTTCAGAATTCTCCAAGCAGTGGCTGTTTGCCTTAAGATCTATACCCAGCAGCTTAGTGGGTGGCTGCATGAAGTTTCACAGTTTTCTCATGCATCATGTAAATATTGCCCAATTTCCCATTTAAAATTTTCCAGGACAATAACTCTTCCCATGGGCAAACAACCATACTACGGACTATGATTCAGTAATTTACGTCATCCGTTCTTGTCCAAATATTTTTTTTTCTGTAATAATATTTAAACCATTTGTGTATAATAAAATTACAACATGTGGCAGTTCTGTTTTTATTAATTTAGGATTTAAGCATGAATTATTCTTTTCTGAAAAGAATTATTTTGAATAATTTTAAGGATGATGGAAAAGAAATATCAGGATCAAGCCCGAGAACTGGTTGAAGAACTGCAGCAGGAAAGAGATGCCATTAATTCTCAGTCTAATAAACTGAAGCAGCAACTTCAGGCAGATATTGCTGCTGCCCGAGAAGAGGAGTCAAAGTTAAAGAGTCGTCTAAGTTTGTTGGAGCAGGTATTCTTGAATATTATACTCATGATTTATTAAAAAAAAACTTATTCAAAATAACAGAAAAGAGCAAGATATGCCAATCTGAATTACTTTTCTTCTCACTTTCATTTGAGCGCTTGGCTTGTATCCTTGGGTATAAAGTTCTTCAGTATTCAGTTCTTTTTTTTTCCATTCAATTTGTCTTATGTTTTAACATTAAGGTTTTTCTTGATTTTTTTTTTTTTTTAATATTCTTTGGGAAAGATTCACCAAATTTTTATGCATAAACATAAGGAAAAAAGGAATTTTACTGCAGAAATAATATGTATGATAATTGCTGCAACTTAAATGTTATGTTCTTCAGTTTAACAATTATACAGGGGGGGCAGTGCAAGCTGCTTATTTTGAAATTCAATAAAAGGAAAAGTAATGCATATAGTATATATATTTAATTCTTTGAACAGCATTAAGTCTAACATGTAAAGTTTATGTTCACGCTGTTTTAAAGATAATATCTGGGAGATGGCGTCCATTATTGTCTACACACTGCGTTAATCGAACTCAAAAGTTTTGTTCACATTTTTCCAGCACATCGACGGGTAAGTTGGCGAATGTTGCATTTGTTTATTTAAATTTGGCATCTTGAAATGACGGTTGCTTCGTAAAAAAAGGGGTTAGGCACAGTCGAGAAACTGGGCCATAAAATTTTAGTCCGTTTGGTTCATATGGAGTGGTCGAAGGAGGAGCGGCGTTTGCTTGTCAAGGCATATTTTTGTAACAGTCGCTCAGTTATTGCCACGCAACGTTCATTCCGTGCCGATTTCAATATTGCGCCCTGTGGTAATGTTTAATGTTCCTGGTCAACAGTTGATTTTTTTCGTGGGTAAACAACTTCTGGGAAATGGGTGATGAGAAGAAGAGGAAACCTGGGCTTTCACGAACAGCAAGGTCACCTCAAAAACATAGACATGGTAAGGCTTTCTGTTTTGCGATCTCCTAAGCGGTCCACTCGGAAACATGTTGTTGCTGTTGGGTTGTTGTCCCACCAGCGGCCGAGCGGTAAAGTCGCTGAACACTGGTAGTTCGGTTCGAGGTTCGAATCCCGCGAACAGGCTGGCTGCCTGGGTGTTTTCGTGGTTTTCCCCATGTGTAGCATGTATACAAGCTAGTTTCCCTTAGAAAGTCCTCCACGAAGGCATAAGCAGATAGCCCTCGAGAAGAAGGCATAAGCAGATAGCTCCCCTTAAGCAGATAGCCCTCGAGGCTTTGCCATAATCACACACACACACACGCTTTTGGGTTGTCTGCTTGATCTGTGAGGCGAATCCTTCATGGAGAAATTTCATCCCTGTAATTTGACTATAGTGCAGGAACTTAATCCACGTGAATTTATTGCTAGAGAAAATTCATGTGAAACGCTTCTTGCAATGCCTGACAACGCGCTTGTTTTCTTCACTGATGGGGCACACTTCCATCTTTCACAATCGGTTAAATAAGCAGAATATGTGATATTGGAGTACTGATAACCCTCGACAACTTCATCAGCATCCCCTACATTTGGAACATGTAACTGTTTGGTGTGGAACATCATGAGCTGGAATAATCGGACCATGGTTTCTTGAAGAAAACGAGCAGGCCTTTTCAGTGACTTTTGATCTTTATGTATATATGATTGAGGAGTTCTTCTTACCAAAACTCAACGAAATAAATGTGGGAGATGTATGCTTCCAGCAGGACGGTGCCACGGCACATACAGTTCGTGTGTCAATGACTGTTTTGCAGCAACACTTCCCAGGACGTGCCATCTCTTTGACAGGCGATTTGCACTGGCCAGCACGATGGCCTTATTTAGCCCCCCTGTGATTATTTTCTATGGAACTATCTAAAAATCACTTTTTACAACGATTGTCCTAACACACTGGCTCACTTGAAATGCAACATTCGTCAAGCTATAGCCAACATACCTGTCAGTGTGTGGGAAAGCATTGACAATAATGGATGCCATCTGCCTGATATTTATCTTTAAAACAGTGTGAACATAAACTTTACATGTTATACTTGATGCTGTCCAAAGAATTAAATATATATATGCATTACTTTTCCTTTCATTAAATTTCAAAATAAGCAAACTGCTCTGTCCCACCCTGTATATATTCAAGCAGAGTCGTAGCTAAGGTTTTCAGTGTCCAGGGACAACTGAAGATTTCGCGCCCCCTACTGCTTGCCAAGGATGGAAAACATTTAATTCTAAAATGTCCTAACATCAGTTTAGCGCCCCTTGGATTCTGCGCCCGGGGACAGATGCCGCCCTTGCCCCCCTCTAGCTACGTCCCTGTATTCAAGCTAAATGTAATTCAAGTACTGTCAATATGCACTGGAAAGTATATTAACATGTAAAAATGATATAAATACGCTTGAGAAAGTATGAAAGACATATACTGATCTATATTCCAGTATCCTTATGTAATTCCTAAATGGTATGATGGATGTTCTGAAAACTAAAATAACATAGCTATAGTAATGTTAGTAAACTACCACAAATAGGTAAAAATATTTATAAAAAGTCTACAACAAACACCTCCTATTTTAAGATCTTTTTCAATTTTCAAACTTTAATCTCTTGTACTCATGCCAAAAATGAGCTATGCATTATTATAAAAATTCATGTGCCGAAATAACATATTTATTGATTCATGATCTTTTCAAGTATAAAATTCATATAAAATATAAAATGAATTAAAAACTCAAAATTTTATATGCAGATGCTTCAAGGTGCACATGTTCGAGTACAGACTACTTGTGCTCAAAATTTGGTGGGTGTAGGTGCCACTGTCTTTCCACAGTGGAATGCACTCACTCACAAAGTCTTCATTTTTTAATAGTAGAGATAGAATGTTTATGTAAGCTCATTAAAATATCTTTTTTTATTACATATTATTATATAATATCTTGACTATAGACTAGATTTATTCCAAAAGTGAGTACAGATGTTCAGGCTTTTAAACTTAGTCATGAAATGAATTAGCATGGTAATTGAACATACTAGTTATCACAGTATCTGGGTAAATGTATATCGCTGGTGAAAATCTATACAATTAGTTATGTCATTTACCTTAAAATAGGAATTTATTATGTATTTCAAAATAGTACATATGAATTAAATCCAGGTTGGGGATCTTAGATATATGGAGAAATATCATTAATTTCTGATTGAAATAATTAAAAAAAACTTATTTGTAATAAGAAACTAATGTCATTGCATGTTTGTTACCTGTATTGCATAACTACGTAACATATTTACCTTTTTTATATGTGTATAAATATTTCTCTTACAAGACAGCATTTTTCTCTGTATACATTTTGAATTTAATGTTATTTTTATAAATCTCTCCATCGTGCAAGTTTTGAATACATCTTACGAAAAACCTTGCTTATCATTTATTTCTAACCCCATTAATTATTAAAATTTAAATAACTGAAAATGAAATTTGGAATATTATTCTGTAGGAAAATAGTCGTTTGGAACAAGAGCTACTCGAGGCAACAGAAAAGTGTATAGAAGCTGAAAAATTAAATGAAGTGTTGCAAAAAGAACTTTCTGTCATACCAGATTTAAAAGCAAGGGTAAGATAATTTATTTTAAATGTTAAGAAATATTAATTTTCATTCAAATATTTTTTGTATTGATACATATATCTTACTTGATGTGTTGCATTCTCACATTCATTGTGACCGTCTTACTGCATTTGTTGTGTTTTGTTTAGCTTGCAGAATTGGAAAATAATCTCAGTGAACTGCAAGATCGTAATACCCAAATGTTACTACAAGAGTTGGAAACATGCAAAAAAACAAATCAAGTAATTTTCTTCTTTTAAATTTGCCAATCTGTGTACATTATATTCTATTTTTTCTTTTTAACTTTATAAGCAAAATATATCAGTAAAACGTGGACACACCAATGGTCAAGCAGCAAAATCACTGAAGATTAGTAATTTGATCTGGTTTCAAATCTCTACAAAGGAGTAGCTGCATGAAAGATTTCATTGTCTTCCTCATGTGTAACATAATTACAAGCCAGTTTCCCTTAAAAAGATTTCCATGAAGGCACTCCTTTCCCTAGGCAAATAGCTCTTTTGTGCTTTACAATATTCCAGTCAATTCCTTATCCTATTATGTAAAATGTTAAGAACTTCATAAATATGTAAATATCTGAAAGAACTGAAAAGGGGAGCAGATTTTCTAACTTTAAAAATATTCAAAATGTTATAGTGAAATATATAAACAAATGCCTGGGTTAGTCATGCCAGTTACTAGATGGTGGTATTAAATGAATGCTGTCTGATGCAGTATTCCATATCAAGGTAAAATTCTACTAGTATATAAAGTTAGGATGCCCATCATTGATGAATATGACAGCCATACTGATGTGGAAATGGGTTATTAGACAAGAATGTTAAACTAAGAAAAAATAGGAGATTTTATGAAATGTTCATATGCTATGGCATGGACTTAAAAAAGTGGGGTGGATGGAGTGAATGGATAGTATCATAAAATTACAAGAATGGAACTGCTGCAGATCATTATTGAATTCATTGCAATGTATCATGTCATTGTACATAATTATCTAGGAATGGCTTGAATAACTCAATGGAATATTTAAGCTAATTCTGTGCCACTTATTTTCCTGACATGAACTGCAGACATGTGCAACTATCTGTCTTTGTATGTGAGGGTTATAGCCATCACCAAGAAATTTACAGCAGTTGGTGAGCAATAATATCTGTTCCAAAGTTTAACTAATTTATAGGTCCTTCTCACAATGATAGGGCTGAAGTTCTTGCTGTTGATCAGTATTTTGGATTTCAAATACTCATTTGCTGATTAGTATTATAAAAATGAGACTTTAAGGGAAAAGAGACTGCAGTCTCTTAAGCAGAATTATATAGTAAATTGTGATATTTTCAACATATGAAACTATTTTAATTTTAAATGTGGTAATCAACCTGTATCCTAAAAGAAGTTTTATATGTAAATAAGCTGTCTGATTCCTTTTAAAATGGTATAATGTTATGTGATCTGTATAACATAAGTTAATTCTGCTTGTAGATCAGGAAAAAATTGAGATGTTTTATTTTTCTATGTGTTCAGTTTTTGTCTGTGTATATATTTTAGGGTCTTCAAGATAAAATTGATGAATTAACACTAGAAATGGAAAGTATGCATCAGAACTCAAACATTGACACATCTTCAAATAAAGGAGTGAGTCGCACCCATTCTTGGTTATCAGATTATAAAAAGGCTTCTTTTGTGGGATATAAAAGGCGTGGTAGTGGATCTTCTTCTGGTATGATATCTTAGAAACATTAAAACTTGATTTGAAATTTCTGTTTTAATAACTTATGATGAGTGTACTTTATATCTTTTCAGATGATAATTCAGAAGATGAAAGTCCTTCTGTAGAAAAAATCAGGAAAACATATCTACCAGATAGTAAGTATTTATTACGTTTTTTGATGAATTCAAATAGCATTACTGATAAGTAAAAAATTATTCAAAATAAAGTTTTTCTTTACTGCTTGTTATATGTAAAATTGTTTTAAGAGATGTTCTAGATTGGTAATACTTTTTCATAATTTCAGTGCCTGTTCTCCTACCAGAAAATACTTTTACTTAAAATGAAACAATTTTTTGGCCTAAGATTTAATATTTTCCCATTTTGTAAATTAAGTATTTTTTTACCTGTCAGTAATATGTTACACTGTTATGTAGCTTACCATATTTTTGTTTTATTTTTTCTGTTCAGTGATTAGTCTTATCATTTCAATCTTGTTATTTAAAATCAGCATTTGAGCATAGTATCTGTTGTTTAAAGAATTTCAAATTATCTAAAATGTCTGCAATGCAAATATAAATTGAAGGTTAGTAATGTATGAAAATTTGTGCATACAGAGTACAATTTCTGTTACTGCATAGTTTTTCGAATAACAGAGGTATTGTTAAACTAAGATTTTTTGTTTTTTTGTTTTGTTTTGTGTACTAACAGGGAAAGCATTTACAGAACCAGATTTCCAAAACTCTCAAAATGGTGCTAAGTTGAATGCTTCTTTGAAGGTATGTTAATGAGATGTTTATATTTTTCATAATTTTTTAATAAATAATAGCTTCATTCATACAGGGTAATTAAAAGTGTTTGTAAAAATGTCAAGTTAAGGTGAGAGGGGATAGAAATAAGAAGATTTTTATAGTGGAATACGCGTGCAGAAATGGTACATTGAAGCTGTGCAGGAGTTGGTTTGCAGTAGGTAAATGTATTCTCCTGGCATAAATAATCATTCTTCATGTGCATTTTCAGTGTTATGCATCACTGGATGAAAACGGAACTTGTCTTCATGCATTTTATATATAAGGCTATAGCTAAAATAGAACGGCTGCACACAGAAGCTGTAAAGAATGATTTCTGACTACTTCCTTTGAAAAAGCTGCTGTGTTTCTGACCTGTCCCATATAGCTAAAATGGATACCATTAAACTCCACGTTTGTGTAATGATACTTTACACTTGAAATTCTTATGCAGAATGATGATTTATAGCAGTACAATGCTTTTATACACTGCTCATCAGGGCTTTGTGTCCCTGAATGGGCCATTTTCACACACATTTCTTATAAAATATGTTTCTTTTGATTCCCTGTACCTTAGCTTACATTTTGGTCTGACATTTTCCAATCACTTTATATAACAGCATATGAAAAATTATCCACTTACAGAACACTGAGCCAAGTTAGAACAATATGTTTAAAGATGAGTTAATTAAATTGAGCGAGTTTTCGATGTAAAGATATACTGTCACTGAAAGTGGATTTTATCCTGAAAAATTAATCTTTTAAAGTTATTGATATGATAAAATAAATTTGTAAGAAAATTTCTGATATTTTTCATGAGATTTAAAAGACAAAAATAATCCATTATTTAAAGCATGCATGAAAATGAATTTAATTATTTCTGAAATGCTAATCTTTCTTTAGGTTCTCGGTTTAGATGGAGGACTGTATAGATTACCTATATATACTAAAATCTCTTTTCAATCAGGACACTACTAAGTTTCCTTATATATGCTATATATGTGTGTGTGATATTTTTAGAGGTTTGCTGTCATGGATGTTGATAGAATTTAGCAGAGCTAACTAAAGAAGATGAAACCAATTTACTTTTTATTCATGGCTGGGAAAAAGTTTTGCTAGATCTGACTGGAGCAAAATTCCCAACTGATTTGATGATTAAAACATTTTTATTTTAAAGTGGAATAATTATTCAGAAATAAATTTTAGAAATAATTCTAAATTTTAGAAATAAATTGGTACAACACTAGGCATTCTAAATACGCCCCACAATTTCTGTATGCGCAGTTTACATTTTAGGTAGTAGAGAAAGAAGCTTAGCAAAGAGAAGTAACTTTAAGAGACAGCAGCAAAAGTACATGGATACAGTCGTACATGGGAAGAAAAACATGCCTTCTTCCCCTAAAACTGGAATCAACTAACTTTATACCAACATTTCTGGCATGCTTCCACCAAAAGCTGCCACTTGTGAAGTCTAAAGGAGCTACTGCTGTATTTTGTGATTCGACCAGTAAAGTGAACTGGTTCTTTAAATTAGTTTGCGACACTTAGCCCATCTATAATGTGCTTAGTTGATTTTAACGCTTCTAATAAGACATAGCAGTCTGAATTTAATTTAAAAAATTGAATAAAAGAAATATTTAAATAAAAAAAGTGGAGTTGTATAGTAAAATCAAATTGGCTATTACATTGCTTCAGTAAAGATATTTTTATGAAAGATTGTAATGTGGTAGATACTTCCCCCCCCCCCCCGAAAAAAAAAAGCGAAATTAGACATTGCTGTTAAATAGGATTCATTTTAAGTCAAATCCAATGGAATCAAATGAGTGTAATTATTTGCAATAATCAATCAGTTATATCCAATGAATTCTGCAATGTGCAATTATATCCAATGAAATCAATTATTTGCGATTTCAATAATCTTTGTAATGTTTTCAGATTTGATTGTTTATAATAACCAGTAACATTGTTTTTTATAAAAACTATGAATAACTTTTATATTTTATTTCTATGGCTTAAAAGGATTTTAATATGGAAGAAAATTAGATGTAGTGATTTTGTTAAAGTGGTCTTGATGGTTGAGAACCTAATAAATCTGTTTCAACTTTTAAAATATATTGTAAAACCTATGGTTAAAGCCTGGGTTTAAGTGCCTAAAAATTGAATGGTCTAAAAAATTGCTAAAAAATTCTCGTCAAAATAAAAAAGGTCCCACAAATGAAAGAAATGTTATTTAAAAACCCCCAAATAAAAAATAATAATATAAAAATGACTGAATTGACAAACATTAACAAATGGGTTAAAACCCAACCAATTACACATACCTGTCACTTGAATGTTGTTATTTTATTTATTTATTTATTTTTTAATTTTCAACCTTATGCAAATATATTACAATTGTCCTCAATTATTAAGTGCTTCTTGATGTTTTCAAAAGTAAAGATCTTCTGATCTCAGTACATAAGTTTTTATATCGTTGGAGGCTTCTCTCAGCATATAGTACAGTTTATCATTAACTCCTCTGTAGCTTCAAAAGAGTCTGCTTCTCTTGTCAGCATGGCCGGTAGCAACCAATGTGGTAAAACTTTGGAATTTAGAACATCACTGAGCTGAAGAATTTAGGATCTGCAAAGATTGCACTGGGTAGCAAGAAGCTTAGTACCCGATCTGCCTGTCAAGATTAGAGATATTTTCTGCATAGTTTGGAAGCCACAGTTTTTAAGTCAAAACTGTTAAATTCAAATTTAGCAACTGCAGTATTTGAAACTTTGGCTTTTTTATCAATGTAATTTATTTCAACAACTAGTTTCATATTCTGCTCTTTAATAGTTGAAATTGGGGTCCTGAAATTGGATCTGATGTATGCAAGATTTCCTTCAATTTTGTCTGTGGAGAAAGCAGTCTGTGTAATTTGAACTGAACCAGAACTGTACCAACTAAATAACAACAAAAAAAGTTTGATTTTATGAAGATAAAAAAATGTATTCACATAGCTGTGAGAGTGTGTCTGCCAAGAATGTGTCTGTGGAATAGCTTTTTCTTTTTTGCATGCAATTCTATGGAACTAAACGTGCACAAAAAGTCTTAAATAGCTAGGAAATGCCAGTATGGTGAAATTCTTAGAAGTGGCACTCAAGCCTGTGTTTATAGATAAGGATTAACAGATTACATATGCAGTGTTCTGTGGATATAACATGGCTTCCTAGTAAAAGTGAGTTCACAGGGGTTGATACAGTGTTATTTCAAGATAATTTTGTTTTCAGTTTGATTATTAGACTCTTTCTCAAAATGCTCTGCAATGCCTGAGAAATGCCCTAAGAAGCCTCAAAATCCTCTACAAATGTTTTGAAAGTAGAAAACCGTCAAAAGTACAGAAAATGGAGGGAAAGAAAAGCATATATTATCAATATCCAGGACTTGGTTATTATAGTAATAGTAATAAATTATGAAGCATTATTAATTACATGATGTACACGAGGGCATAAAAAGTATGTAACGCTTGTATGAGAAATATGACTGTCCATTCATGCAAATAAAGTGAAAGAATTATTCCCCATAAAATATTTATATTTTTATTAAATGTTTCTAGGCAATGAATAACAACTAAGTAATTCCTTCAGCCACTTAAATATATTTGAAGTATATGCTTTTATGAATAAAATAGACTGGAATAATGAATTAAAACAAGAATTTTCAAATAAAGAGTATTTTGAACAAACAGTTTTAAATGTGCTTATATATATGAAAATATTTACTGTATAATAAAATATTAGGGTAGTAAAGAAAGAAAAAATATGCATAAAAATATATAAATGCTGAATCTGCAAAATAGAATTGATAATAATAAATTTACTCCTTATGATACTACACAAAATTTTTTAAATAACCATTTAAGAGATTATATAGCTTAAAATAAGAAACTGTAAAACTTCTTTTTTAAAAGGTATTACAGAAAAAAAATTTCAGTGCAAAAAAGAAGCAATTAACTAATCAGTACTTAACTCGTAGAAAATCTACAGTATTCCAGGCTTGAAAAATATATTAGTTTTAGAATTTCATATAAATTAGTTTATGAGAAAATTAAATTCATTAGCAAAAGTTGCATTCATTAGTAAAAAATGAAATTCATTAGTGAAGCAAAACATGATTTTATAATGTAAAATATGGTAAGGGTGACAATTTTACTATGTAATGTAGTGTATGAAATGCTGGATTTAGTCATCTTAGAACATGCCTGATGTAATATTTTTGTTTAAAACAAATGTTCTATATGTTATTAAAAGATTTAAACTTTTTAGCTTTCAGTAAAGAATATAAGAATCGTTATATTTATCTTTAAGAGAAACAAATTTAAATTACAAGGACAATTTAATACTATTTCAGAAATATTAAGTAACTTCCATAAAAAAATCACGTGGAAGTACTTCAAAATGTAGAAGTTAAATTATTTAATTATCTTTCTTATAAAATTCAAGTTCATATTTGAAGTCACTTTCAGTGTAGTCTCTTTCCTTTTGTTATAAACCACCATAAAAAAACTGAGGGTAATTTTGTATTCAGTCTGTAATGGTATTATCATCATAATTAAGGCAGTTATAGGTAAGTACATTCAGGAAGTTACAAAAAGATAGTTAATTATATGTGAGAATACTTTTCAGTATAACATTGCTGTTTGTTTATTCAAACTTATTAAAATGCGTATAAACTAATTACGGATTTTGATGGATTAAAAATGAAAATGAATGCAAAATGAAATTCCTTAAAAACAAAATATAGGCAGTGTTCTGTTAATTAAATTTTGATGCTTTAAGCATTGTTATACACAAAGAATAATAAATTATGGGATTTCCTAGATGATAAGAAGCTTACGGAAAAGTGTAAATCCTAAATAAATCCATAAGTATATTTCAAATAGCATATCTCTCATTATATTTTAGATGAGAATGAAAACTAACTATAAAGTGTTCTTCATTACAAATATAAATTAATTAGTAATTAGAATAGTAATAGTAATTAAAATATAGCATTAAAAGAATTTACCCAAATCTTTTTTTCAAATCTTCTAAATTTTGCATTTGTGTAGATTTTGTATGTATCTGTAACCTGATTCATAATTTTATCAACAACTGATCTTTTAGTTTCAGTGTTGAAAAGATAAATAAATATCTTCAAATATATACACATACACATACATATACATACTACATGTGTATTAACAGCATATGGTATAAAAATAAAACACGTTTTCGCTTGAAAATTTTCCTGAAGATATTATAGCAAGAAAATATGTTGTTCTTTGAGAAACTCTTTTGTAATATATATTTCAGTTAAAATAACAGATCTGAATTTCTTTTCAAAATTTAATGTCATTAATTTAAATTCATGCAAATGTGAAATATTTTTCTATTTACTATCATAATGACATACTTTGATGTGTTATTTATTATTGTCATCTTTCAGTTGAATTATCTATTACAAAACAGAAGCATATTTTATTTAGCATTTAAATTTTATGGTAGAAGATTCGTTGGCATTCAAGTAATGAAATTTAAAAAAATTTCTGTATTTTAAGTTCCAGAATTGAAGTTAAGTAGTAAATAATTAATTCAGAAATAATCTCAGTTTGAATGCTTTTTTGTATCAATTGTTTGTTTGTAAATTTAGTCTGAATATTTTGTTGTCAAACTACATAAATGATGTAAATAACAGTTTGTAACATGCACAATCGAACTTCAAGTAACTGTACTGTAACAGTAGTATGTCATTCATTTGCCAACAAAGAACTATTAATAAGGTATGTTTGAGCCATTAAAAATACATCCGTAAATTATCATAATTGAATTCTCTATTTTGTAAACTCTTATTTGTGAAAAAATGTAATTGTCATATCTTCAGATTAAAAATATACCTTTTTAAATAATATTTTCTTCATATTTTAAGGGAAACCAGCCAAGCTCAGTTGATATTTTGTTAAAAGATATGCTGTCAGATCAGACACATCTGATGCAAAAGTTACAGGTTGCAGAAGAAAAAAGAGTGAAGATGGAGAGAGCATATAGGCATGCTGAACGAAAAATTAAAATCTTGAGTCATCTTCTGTCAATGTCTACTGTATCAGAAGCAACAGCAGTCTCATAATTTTCACAGATTTCACATTTGGGCATTAAATAGTTGAACTATTTAATTCATCAAGAATTAATTTGAAATTCCATGACATTTTTTAATAGTCGTTTAAGTGCTCAGTTTTGTTGTATTTATTTTTATTACTCACGTTATCTGCATTTTTTTTAAAGTGATTGTTGTATTAAGAAAAAGAGAAAGGTATTTCTGATAAATAAAATGAAACAAATTAAAATGTCTATAAATTTTATCTGCACAATATATACAATTATATTTGAATGTTACATTAGATGTTCATTAATCTATAATTTATATATTTTATTTAAAATGTGTGACTGTGAAACATTGCAGAAGCATAATCATTGAATTTCTCTGGCAATGAAATAATTGTAGAGTAAATTCATGAATCAATATCTCATATATTTTGCAATAATGTATTTTGATCCATACATTCAAGTAATGAAAACATGTTTAAGAAAGAAATTTTTTATCAGAGAATTTTGTTGAATTCCTTGTGGGTTACTAACAGATGCATTTAAGAGCATCAGCAAACTGCTGATTATTTTTTAACATTCATTGATTTATAATCTGAATGTGCTTACTGGAATTAAATTGTGTGAACCATTTCTAATTGCAAATTGTTGCTCGCATTTTTTTAAAACCTAGTCATGATTATTGTTTTAGATTTGATGCTGTGCCACATTTTTTTTTTTTTGCTTTTAACTAGTCTTAAGGGGGAGGGAGGAATTCTCTTTGTTACTAGTATTTCTCTTTGTTACTAGTATTTTGAGTCAATATATCTAGATGCTACTGATAATTGCTCATAATCAGTTCCTTTTTTGTAATAGTTCCTTTTTTTACCATTCTGCCCCATTTTTATTTGTAGGATATTATCAATAATTGAGATAATTTTATTTATTTCTCATCTTAAATCGCATTTTCTAACAGAAAAATTTAACAGGCATAAATGATTTTTATTGTTATATAGAAAGAAACTGTTAATGCAAGGTGGTTCGTAGTTGAATTCCTTTTCTTTTTCCCTTTGGGCTTCTGAAGAATCATTAATAATGTTCATTTATTAACATCATTGTTGTATAGTTTAGCATTCCAGTTTTATTCTCCAAATAATTGGGGTGTTTGATATAAAAATTCATTATATATATATTTATTTCAGTTCTGAAATGTTTGGAACATAAATGTGTGTTTTCTGTATGCTGACTTTGAACTAACAGGATACAAAATCAGTGTACTTTTCATGACCGTCCTTTTTTTTAAAAAAAATTGACTTTCTTGCACATAAATGAAGTGAATCTATGTAATTATGCAGCTTTTTGGTGTGGTAAATATCATAAGGAAACGCATTTTGCAATTTTTGTTTTTAAATGGATATTGCAAATTTTATGTTTTGTTACCTGTGTAATTTCTACAGTTTTCAGTAAGTTTGTGCCTTTATGCTTGTTATAGTATATGTAAAGTATTTTATTATAGCATGCACTTTTTATCATGATTTTTATCATAAGTCTTGTTATTATGAATGGAGAAGTTTATAGTCAATAAGTCAGTGTTGTTTGCTATCATGTAGGGATTTTTTCTGATCATTTTGGAGTTATGTAGAGTGATATTATTTTTAAATTTTGTAATACAGGTATAGGTGCTAAGTTTGTGTTTGATACATGTACGGATTATTTCAATGATGTAAAATGTGTATAAAAATCGAATTTAGATTGAATTTTTTACTAAATTGTGATATATTCTGAATTATTCTTTATATTATTTGATATTTTCCAAGACTTATATTTGCAATTTTTTTTTTTTTTGTTGTTTTGTTTTGTGCGCGTGGATATTGATGCATGCGATTCATTATTTTTAGAACCTGAGAAATTGTCATTAATTGATACAGTTACTCTTCATATAAAAATATTTGTTGTTATCAAGAACAGAAATTAGTTAAAAAAAGAAAAAGACAGTTGTAAAACCTCAAATTATTCTCATACCCAGTGTAATTCTGTAATGATTTAAGCTAAAATGAAAATATTTTTAGAGTATGATAATTTTCTATCATTTGAGCAGTGAAGAAAATCAAATTCAAAACAACAAATGTAGTGAAATAAATGGGATGATTTGTATATATTTATTCATTTTTGGAAATTTAATTACCAGTTACATGGAACATGCCATTGGCAAATTTAATCCCCACCTCCCTCAAAGTAGCTGAGTACCATATTTCAAGGGAAAATGAATGAAATATCTTGATTTCAAGTAATTTTATGTTATTTGTCAGGAATATTATATTAGCATCATAATTTTGATAGTATTCATATTACATAGAAAATAACTGTAATGTAATTTTATCAATATTGAATAATTAAGTTGTAGATAGAAAAATTCTTGAGGTGCTTCTTTAAATGTTTGCCTTACATTGATTTTTTAATTAGAATTTGAGAACTTTTTTTGTTAATTCTGAACAACTATAGTTTGTCTTTTCCTAAAATAGAATAAAATCATCATTTTTCTCATACTAGTAAATAAGTACAAATTTTATTGAAAACTATATTAACATTATTATTGGATATTATGCAATAAAAATGTGAGATAAATATTTTAAATATTTTACAAGGACTTTATTGTTGCATTAATAGCATGTTGTTTGTCAATGATAATTTTCAATTAAAGAAAATTTTTATGTCATGCCAAAAATGATGCCTGTATGTAGAATTGGCAAATGTTGATTGCTTCTTTACATAAACTTAAATGGCCCCATTTTTGTGTAACATGACTGCTTTGTTATTTATAAGAAGAATAGATTAGATGATTTTAGATCTGTGGCAATTATTGTTAGTTGCTTATAGCATAATACTGGAGACAGTTTACTGTTGTCAGAGCTTAGTGAACAAATTCTTATTACTGCTATATTTTTTTAGCATTTTAAAAATTATAAAATACCAGTTATACTTAAAAACATAATAAGGTACTTATTTTTGTACTTTTTCAGCTATATTTTTTAGTAGAAGTTTGCATGTTATCAATGTTGTATTTTGATTTACAATTCCTTTGACTGATTATTTGGAGATTCATACTTTTGAATTATGTAATTATGTTCTAAAATTTTATTCTAAATTATAGTTACTGTAGGTCATATAATTATTTAAAAAGGTACTTGGTGGTTGTGTATTATCATTTTATGTTGTTTGAGATTGCTTAGCTTGAATAAATATTATTTCAAAAACTTATATTTGTACTTGATATAACATGATTTAAATTTTTCTGAATAATGCTAATTCAAGATGTGTAATTGTAATAAATAGAATTCACTAACATGTAAATCATTCTTTACAAACACATCATGTTATAATGATACTCTTTATTGCATCTGAATTCAGGTATGCATAATTTGGCTTTAATTTAAAACTATTTCTTTGAGAAGATCGAGTACTTTTATTTTATTTTTTTTTAAAGAACTCTTAAATGCAAAGAATCAATATAAGCAGAAGAATGACTTAATATTTTGTCATAATTTTAAGGTAGTTTCTTTAAATTCAGCATATATTAGTATGAAGATAAAAATATGAAATAAGTCCCACAGTTTGAAAAATTTACATACTGAATTATTTTACTGTAAAATGTGTAGCTTTGTATAGTGAATTGAAGGGAGAAAATTGCTTTGTATATTCAGAGTAATTCCTCATTCTGGACCATAAATTTTGAAGCATTTGTTTGTGTAGTTTCATTATATATGCAATTACTGCTTGTTATGTTAGGGTTCTGTTAATTCAAATTTTCGAAAAATCTCTCTTAGGATTGTTGTTGTTTGTTAACAAGATATTGATTTTTTTTTGTCCTACCAGTTTTTTCACTATCCAGTTTTCTGCTTATGAGAGTTATAAATTCCGTATAGAAAGAAGGCCGAGTTCTTTCATTAAAATTGTCATTGTAACCTTTCATCAATAAAATTGTCTTTGTAACCTTTCATCAATAAGTGCTTTGTCCAAAGCACAAATAACATTAAAAAATTATTTGCCAAATAGAAATAAAAAGTGTTCTTAAAATCGATATAATCTATCTATTTTAATTTTAGTATGGCGTTTAGATAGTTTCTAGGAAAGTCTTATTGACTTAATTGCATTTTAATGTAATTATTTTTTTAAAATATTTTTTTAATGATATTTAAAACATGGATAATATAATGTGTGCTATATACTAGCTGGCATTAAAATATTAGCATAGTGAATATAAGCATAATGAAACCTATCTACATCATTTAGTGGATTTTATTGTTTAGTTCTAGCTTCGATTTCCAGCTGTTGAATATTGCTGCCTACTTGAAGATTTCCTCAAATAGATCTTCCCAAACAAAGTTTCTTTAAGTATGTTGTTTTCCCGTATGTGTAATGCAATAAGTAAGCGAACTTGTTTCCTCTAAAAACTGCTCTAAGGAGGTATATCTTCTAAGGTTGAAAGCTTTAAATTATTTACGAACCCATATGGTCGTGTTTCAAGCGATTCTTTTCGCGAATACTTGTAGTGTAGGGGTTAGAATACCCAGCTAGCAATTGGTAGTTTGCTAGCATTGTTTCGATTACCGATTGCAGCATAGTTGATATTTACCGCCTCGGGGTTACTCTAATAATATGCATATGGACTCTAATAAGCAGGACAATAAGTAATATCAATGCATTTTATCCACTTCGCTCAGCTTCAGGGCTTTAATCAGTTGTCAGAAAAATGTATTCATTACTTCATAAAATAAAATAAGTCATTTGCGTATAAATTTATTACTTAGCTTTAGCATCCTTTAAAGCAGAATCCATCTTTTCTGAATACACTTCGTCACGGAGTTTTAGACAAATGTTGCTTAAGAAAACAACTTTGGCTATTCCTAGGACTTCATTAAATTTTTTCTCCACATTATCTGGTAATGTAATTATATATCTTTGCATTAGTCTTGTGAAATAGAGAAATACTTCTACTTCAGCCATGTGCTCACCAAGACAGTTCCTTTTACCTAAAGTAAAAAAGTAATTTTGTATTAAAATTTTCTTAGATTAAGTAAGTTAGGTTATAAGTTAAGTAAAATTCAAAATTAGTTCATTATTTAGAAAAACTCAATGCATTTCAAGGAAGAAGGATGAAACTCCCGTCTTCTTCAAAGACGAGAAATACGTACACGGATGTACTACACACGTATGTCACTTAAAATAGGCGAAATGGAATCAATTAAAAGAAATAAACAGTCGTGCCGGCGCTATGTGTCCAGCAAAATAAAAATCGATGTAAGAAAAATTATGAACTTTAAAAAATTCAAAGGGGAAAATGACATTTAAAATAGTGAATAAAATTATCTCATTTTTACCCAGATAACTTATAATAAAATTTAGGTGAAATTTTGGCAACAGAAACGAAATTCTTAGTACCGAAGCCAGAAAATACATTAATATAGCTTATATTTCGAGCTACAAACATGTATCAAGTAGGCCGAAACAATACTTAATATTAATTTAATAATATAAAAATTAAAAAATTAAACTTAAACCTCTTGAGACCCTTGGTACCCAGTTGGGGACTTCAGTACATTAGCATTTACTCCAATATAAACGTTTGTTTGACTTAAATCCCAGAGTATCCAATTGGGAAAAAAACTGATCTTTATTGTCTGCTAAAAGAGTGCAGCACCATACTGATGTCAAACTATTTTATACAGCTTTGAAATCGAGAAATGAGAGAAAATGGCGTCTCGACCGACTAGAGGTAAGTTGATTTATTTTTTTAATATTAATGATTATAATTATTAAGTTTTTACTCATTTTTTAAACTAAGAAGTCTATAAGCTTTATTCCACATGCATTTTTGTAAAATTACTTTGTTATTGTTTTCGATTTTTTTTACTTAGAAAAGAAAATACCCGTTTGGGTACCTTGGAATCAGAGTATACCGATGGTGCTAAATGTTGTTTTCATTTTTTTCAGTAAAATATTTGACATATGAAGAAATCAAAGTGTTGCTTGAACAAAGTGATGGATAAACTCTCTGATATTGATTATCCAGACTTCGAAAATATTCCAGAAAGTGATACTGATTCTGAACATCTGGAAAATGAAGGCATTCTAACATCTGAAGAAAATGAATGTCTTCTTTTGTCAAGTACATTTGGTATCAAACCTGAAAGCAGGTGTAAGAGGTGGGCAAAAGAACAAAGACAGCGAGTAGATGTCATGCAACCTTCTATTCTAAGGGCGTATAACATTTACATGGGAGGTGTTGATATGATGGACAAACAAACAAGATTTGGGCATTCCCTGTTCCGTGCACTCGCACACTACAGGTCCACTATCCCTTTGGGCACTTCATGGAGGTTCAACCTCCACTATTACCCTTCCAGCGAAGCAGCACACCACTTGGATAGGACACCAGGCAGCACTGGTCATCAATTGCTCCTGCCAGTCACATGGGCAAGCCCGTCGCAGAGGGCCGTTATCAGCAAACGGGGGGGGGATCAAGAGTTAGATGTATTAAATGTTACTTGTAGCTTACAAAACAGGAATTGCTTCTTTGAATTTCATAACGAATAACTGTTTAAAAAAAACTATATACATTGATGTAACTCTTTACATCATTATAATGACATTATATGCATGTAGTTCCAAGATACACATTTGGGTACCACTTAATTAACATAAATACAATTTTCAAAATGTACTTTTTATATATTTTTCTTTTTAATAGTTCCATTTTAAGTACATACACAAAAAATTAGATAAAAATATCGAGGAATTACTGCTCGGGTCTCAAGTGATTAATGTATCCTAAAGTGATGTAATTTTTGGTACTGGAACAAATATTGCACTGTTTTTGACAAGTGAGGTTTATCATTGCTTTAAAAGTGACTTTTAAAACATCGTAATGGTGAAATCTGGAAGTTGATTTCTATATGTTCTTCGTATATTTAATTTTATAACAACAGGATGATTCACAATGATACGTTAATGCGAAAAACGTTAGCAACACTTTTGTACAGTCGTGTATTTTAAAGCACTAATTTCCGAAATTCAGCATACCCCGCTTTAAAAATAACCGTTATGTATAAATTTCGTATCCATTTTTCTCGATGAATTCATCAATTAACGTTGTATAATGCTATCTTAATGCTGCTAGTTTTACAATAACTGCTAATTCTAACTTTTGAGGTTCTTAGCAAGAAATATACAGCTCTTAATATTTCATAAATCTTTTTGATTTTAAATCTTTTAGATAAGGCAGTTAAGTAATTTGAAATTAGTAACTAGTTTTTCTGAAGATAATTGAGTACTACGTTGTTTAGTTTTTCTTACGGATGGAAAATTTTGCAGTTGCTTTTGTATTTTCTCGAAATAAACACTTAGTTTCTCCTCAAAAGCAAGTATTTTATTTACCAACTTTGAGATAATTTTATTTTCACCTTGTTATCCCCGACTGAGAATAAGTCTTTATGTTAGTGCACAGAAAGGTTAAAATATGCTATCTCCTATTATTTTTATGTCTGTTTATTCTGCTTTATTGTTTCATATAAAATAACTTTCGGGTGTAAAAGAAATACCGATCTGAAACGTTTTCTCTCATTAACCATCCACTATCCGTCACTATAGTTACTCTTAAATTTCTTCCATTAATTTTTCAAATTTTCTACGATTCAGTGGTTGTGAGGGAACAACATTATATTTATTACAATTTTTGTCATGGCTTCTATTTCAGGCATAGTGACACGTGCTGTTAAGTTCTCTTGATGAATGATATAAAGAAATAATGACACATTTTTTAAATCAGACTTCTGGTTTAACACAGAAATAAATCCTTTCTCATGAGACGTCATTGATAGACATCCATATGTGCACACACAAAATAATTTCGTTATATCAATATAATTGTTTCCTAGAAACGTACAAATAAAATGGAGATAATATTTGCCTCTGATTTGATTTTTCACAGGAAGAAATTTCTGAAAGTCATTTTAAATTAAATTCTTTTCTCTGCAGTATTTAATAAAAATAGAACACTGCGGTATTTTTGAAATCTCAATGCTAGAATCAATGACCAAGCTAAAATCTGTACAATTTTTTAAAATCTTCTATGATGTAAAATGCGTTTTTGCAATATTTTGTGTACGCTTAATGCAGGCGGAATCTAAGAGTTCGTTAGCTTTAATATACGAAATTATTTGATTTTAATTTTACTTAAGTTTTCAAATAATACTTGGAAGAACTCATGAACATTCCTTGACAGTTTCTGCGTCAGTAAACGTTCACAATGGTTGAATTTGTAACATATTTCATTTGTTCTCACCGCTGTACCTTTTGAAATCTTCAAATAGGTAAAGCAAACGAGTTGCTGGACCATATTCATTTCGTACAACAACGTGTTCCTTTTCCCACTTCTCCTGACGTAATCTATTTTCGTCATCTGTTTTCACTTGCTTTCTGAAGAAGCTTATGCAATTATGGATACTAAAATTATACGAATGTATTCTTAAAATTAAAATAATGGAAAATTAGTTTTGCTACGCGCCAACGTAACTGCACAACTGCAACAATTCGTGCATGCGCAATGTAAGATTAGCTGTGAATTTCTGCCAATTGCATTTGGCAGAGGTCTGTATTTTAGGAAGTGGATTTCTTAAAATTTAAATTTGGCAAGACATGTGAAACTTGAGTTTTGTCATACGTTTGGGAAACGAAATGTTTTAGTACACGTGACTAGCAATTTTTATTTCCAATATATGTGATTCGCAAGATATTAAATTCTGCGTGACCCCTCAAAATAGTACACAGCAAAACAGCTTACGACAAAATAACTCATGAAAAATTAGCCTTGTCAAAATAGCCTAAATATAACTGTCTTATTTCTAATTTTAGTTCAAAAAACATGTTACACAAATATTGACTTTTCATATCATCCGACAAAAATCGCATTCAGTTTTAGTATCTAAAACTAAATAAAAGTATTTTTTATACCTTATACATTTTTCAAAAATAAAAATAAGTGTTTATCGACACTCGTATTTCAAGATTATTGTTATACTTGGATACTCTTTTACACAAAACATGTATCCTTTCGTAAATCATATAACAATTATATTTTTTAATATGGGTCTGAGGATACCAAACTCTCCTATGCCTCGGTGTGGAAATTATTATTTTGTCAGTCTACTTGATTAATTATTGTGAAACGTTTTTTAATAAGATATTCGTGTCAGCCAGTATTTATATAAATATGCGTACAGAATCAAATTTGAACGTGCATATTTTTCATCATGTCATTGAATGCAAAATATAATTACTTATTTACACATACGCCATGGCACTCTTTTATGTCGCCTGCATATTTTTAGATACTAAAAAATTTGAAGACTCTTCGCGAAACCTAGACTTTTAGTTCAGAAGGCTTTAATTTAGGCTATTTTGTCGTGGTCTCTATCGCCCTCTTAAGTGCTGCGCTTCTCGGACTACCAAAATTTCATTTTGGCCTGCATGTAGAAGCTTGCCGCGCCACGCATGGCATACGGGTTGAATACGTACGGCTTATCGCAAAAGCTGTGCGAAATTTTGTGCAATTGAATCTATTAAAAATTACCTTAATTGGAAATACAGTGAGACATATGTATATATTATTTCTGTAAAACCCCTTTATATCTACGCAAGGAAACCAGAAAAAGGCTGTACATTAGAAACTTATTTCTTAGGTTACTGATAAATATTAAATATATCGCATAAAATCATCTTATATAGTTTAATAATTAAGGCTCGAAAATCAAACGTGGAAATAAATATGAAACAAGTGGCGTTCATGGCGGCCAGTAAATCGCATGTGATTTTAAAAATTTGTCATTCCACGTAGTATTTCAAATGTCAGTTTATAATGGCGTCACCATTCTATATGAAATATATGTTGTTTAACAACCTGATATGATTTCAAAATAACATAATTCCTTCTTATTATTAAGATAGAACAGTTGAATTGCATACGGCGATAAAG